TACTGGTCACTCAATAATCGTGCAATTCTTCCTTACTCACTCTGCCTCTGCAGCGTTCTGATTACACGTGCACATTTCCCCAGACGAGGAAATCCTCAGGTTCTGCATCACATTTCAAGCTTCAGTTTTACTTTCTAGTCTCAAGGGAGTATTGCTGAGCCACAGAATTTGGGTACTCTTAAATTTGCTTACCTGGATACTCAAACATGCACAGGCACTGTAGTCTTCCTCGAATATGCAGAGTTCAGATTTCTCATCAATGAGGAGTGTCTAAAAAATTACCATGAGGAAGTGGAAGGGAATTCCTGGCTCTTCTCACATCTGCTGCACCCAAATGGCTGTTGCCCTTGAGCTTCATTCTGGTGCTTTAAAACTACATGGATATTCTCAGATTCTGAGCTGGTTAAAAACCTACCGCATCTCTCTCACAGACTTGACATTTAGTGCTCTAACTCTGTGAAAAACCCGTTAGATTGTACACTTTAAATAGGTAAATTCTATTATAGTATATAATTTCTATCTCAATAAAGTCATAAAAAAATTGAAAGCAGGGTCTCAAAAAATATTTGTATACCCATTTTCAGAGTAGCGTTATTTATGATAGCCAAAAGGTGGAAGAAACCCAAGTGTCCATCAGCAGATGAATGGATAAACAAAATGTGGTATCTCCATACAATGGAATATTATTCAGCCTTTAAAATGTTGGAAATTTTGATACATGCTACAACATGAATTAACCTTGAGGATGTTATGCAAAGTGAAATAAGCCAGTCACAAAAAGACAACTGTATGATTCACCTGCATAAGGTACTTAGAACAGTCAAACTCATAGAGATAGAAAGTAGGATGGTGATTGCCAGGAGGTAGAGGGGAGGAGGAATAGGGAGTTGTTATTTAATGGGTATAGAGTTTCAATTTTGCACGACGAAAAACATTCAGGAGATTGGTTGCACAACAAAGTGAATATACTTAACGCTACTAAACTTGACACTTAAAAATGGTTAAGATGGTATATTGTATATTATGTGTCTTTTTCCACAATTCTTTTAAAAAGCGGGGAGGCTGTGGTTTTTGTGTGCAATTGGAAGGGACTGAAGACTAGATTCCTGTGAAATTCCAAATAAACAATGATAGAAGAACTTTCAGAACCTAGTATAGTTTTAGAAAGGAGTAATATTCATATTCTTATTAATTATTTCGAAGTTCCCAGGGATGAGAATTATAAGCCATTTACTCCAGAGTTTTCTGAGACTGACAGTAATGTATACTCATATTCATACTTATGTATTTATTGATTCATTTATTCAGCGAAAAGTGATTGAGTGCCTCCTGTGTTCTAGGCATGGTGCTGCATGCCTAGAACATGTGACAGTGGTGAGACGTCACTGCCCTCATAGGTCTTACAGTATGATGGGTTGAATCAAATGTTACTGAAGTATGACTTGGCCATGTAAAAATCCGAATATTTAGACTTTTCTTAGGACTTTTCTTTCATTTTAATTCATGGGGTCTTCCATGAATACTGCAGTAAGAACCACCACAGCAACAATCTCTTGGTACTTCTATATACATTCTCTTTGATTTGATTTGATTTGATTCCTGACCTCAACCCTCTCCTCTAATCCCTTAGATTGTAAGTTTCTTGGGAATAGGCCAGTCTTACTTATCTTGTATCCTCTACAAAAAGTCTCCTCTACAAAAAGTTTCCATAGCTAACAAAATCCCTTACACACTTAGCTGAAAAGAAAATTTGTGAACTATGCAGAGATAACAGAGGTGTATCTCTAGACCGGAACAATGACTGCTGATTTCAGGGTCCTGCAACCATCCCAACCACCAAAGCAGATTGCAATACAATAAAGAAATATCTGCACCACGGTTTGGAAAAGATATTTTAAAATGCCAACCATTATTCTTCCAGTTGCATTGTGTAGATGTGGCCTCTTTTTATAAAAGTTCTTTCTCTATAGTGTTACTAATTCTATAGTGAAGATAACTCCACGATATGCGAGATTTACTTGCATGTACAAGTTTGCTTGTGGACTTGGACCTCATGCTGTGCATTAATACATTTAACTCATGGCTTTTCAACTGACTTATGTAGATATCACATTCAAACCAGAAGTATCCAGAATGGGGTATAGAGTGGAGCAAGGCTGTTGTTGGAAATATTGACAGTAATGATCATGAATGGTGTCATCATATCGCCTATTAAAAGAGTTTGCAATCAGAGGCCCCTAAACCAAAATTATATTAATACATTAGGATCTAGCAATGTAATGAAAACCTACTGTGTGCTAGGCCCCTTGTCATGTATTATTTCATTCAAGCTTCATGATCAGTTATGGCTGGAGTCACTACTAGTCCATTTTACAGATGGGGGAACTGTGGACCAAAGAGGTTGGAGGATTCCCCAATGTTCCACGGCCTCCAAGTCCCATGCTCTTTGCACATACCATAATACTTCAATTTTGAACATCTTACTGAGTTAGGAGACTTTTAAAAAAGCAAAACAAAAAAATAATAAGAACAAAAACCTTGTGAGCAGTCTGTGTTGGTCAGGGGTTGCTGTTTCTCTAAAGTCCAGTAAGCCCTTAGCTTTGCTTTCCTGAACTTTGAATTTCAGTTGCACGTCAAGCTCTGGAAGATGAGCAAATGCTGACGCCACAGGAATAGCAGCAGGTGGCAATGCTCAGGGGCGGGAGTGCTCATGCTCCTCTGACATGACATGCCTGGCCAGGCTGTTGTTCACGTGAAACAATGTCCAGAAAGACTGGAGACACGAGGTCTGCCGATGCAAGTCATTCTTTCCTGATTAATGAAAGTTTAATGTCCAAGGCTATAAACCGCTGAGAGGGGAATAGGAAAGAGCTAATCTGTGCAGTCTCTGGTCACCAAAATGTAAATAGGTCTGCTTTGGACCACTGACTTGGAACAAGACAGACTGTCCATGTACCTGTCCTGTGACTCTGGACAAGTTACTTGCCCTCTCTGAACAAGAGCTTCCTATGCATCAAATGGGGGTAATAAACCTTTCCTCAGAGAGGTGCTGAGATTGGAGATGACGTATGAAAAGAACCAGTTACATTATAGAACCTCAAAAAAAGATAGCTATTATTGTTGTTATTGTCATAGTTATAACAAGAATAATTAGTATTAATACCAGTAGCATCTCTCAGCAGGTGGAATGTTTTAGTTATTTCAAAGCAATATGTTCCTGAAAACTTATACTTTTCTGTAATCATAGTCATTCCATCATTTCCCCCTTTTATTTGCCTCTGGAAGCATATAATATTTTTTATTTACCTTTTCTTGAATTAGATTTTGGTTAATACTCAAGGGAAAAACCTGTAAAATGAACCCACATCCAAATAGTGCCATATTGAAGGATGCTGATAGCTTAGATCAATCACTTGGAGTTTAATTTTAGTTTTTACCAAATTTGAACACAAAAATATAAAGTTTAAAAGAGATTGAGATTAAAAAATACAGTGGTTTCTGGCATTAAATACAATTAGGGAGCCCTGTTTGGTTTTGAGGCATTGGGCAGCATGGTAGAGACAATGATTTTTTTAATACAATGTTTTGAATTTTATTTTTCATCAAGATAAAATCTAAACATAGGAAATTCAAGGATTCAGAGTCTATTTCTTTCAATGAAAGAACATTTAAATTTAACTATAAATTATAGAATAAATTTCTGGAACTGGTTACTAATGAATCATTGAAAATAAATAATAAAAATATAGCATTTCTTGCCTAATTTGGAAATAATGTTTCTTGAATGCCTACTGCTTACAGGCACTTTACAAACTCATTTAATGCTCCTATGAAGTTGAGAGCCCACTTTATAGAGGAGAAAATCAGGCTCATAGAATTAAAAAAATAAACTTAACCAAGGTCGTATGTTTAGTAAATGTTAGAGCTAAACTAATGTTCTTCCCAGTATTCCTTAACGAACCCAAGAGTGTAATCATTCACTAGCTGCCTGATTTTGGAGAATTTCCTAATCCGCAATTTCCTCATCTATAAAATGGAGGGTCTGGATTAGGAACTACATGGTCTAAAGACAGTCCTTGCAGCTTTAACATTCTATGAGCATAAAGAGAGGTGAGCATGATTATAAGGAGTGGCTATTTATGAGCCAATCAGAGTTACTGAATAAACACCTCCCTACTAGGTCAAAGTAGGAAGGGAAGGGCGAAAGGTAAAAAAAAAAAAAAAAAAAAAACTTTGAAGAAAAAGCCAAAAAAAACCCGGGGTCCCAAAAAACCAACCCAATTGGCAACCGCCGCCCCAACCAAAACCTCCGAAAACCAAAAAAAACCCTCCCCCCCAAAACGGAAAGAAAAAAAACCCCCCCGGAAAACCGGAACGCAACCGGGAAAAAAGGGGTAAAGAAAACAACAAAACCGGAAAAAGGAAAGGCCAACCGCCCTTAATTTCAAGAAAAAACTGAAGAGCCCCGAAAAACTGAAGGAACCGCCGAAAAGAACAATTCCCCCCCCCCGAACAAAAAAGCCCAATCAAAACCTTCCCAACAATTTGAAGGGGGGCAAAAAAACCAAAAATGAATGCCAGGTAAAAGTGTAACCTGTACGAGGCACTTCTGAGTCTTTGGTCTAGGAAGAACAACTCGAACGCTCCTATTTGGTTAGGTTCTAATCCATTTTTGAGATTCCTGGTCGTTTCTTAGCAACTACTTATTTCAGTGATTTATTTACATATCTTATTGCCTTATGTCACTTTCTACATTCTCTTCCCACACTACTGATACTAGCACTGAAGTCTCTTTGTCACAGAAATGAACCCTTGGAGTGTGTTGCCGTTTGTCTTCACCCACTGCTCACATGACGAAATGGAACAGGGCTGGAAACCTCACAGGGCACAGTCTTCATTTGATTATGAATTTTCAAACCCTCCTCTTGTTTGACACTTTCTAGAACATTTCCTACTAGCACCAGATACTGTGAAGACTCTACAGCTTAAGATATTGGGAATCAAAGGTGTTGTATTTTGGTATGTTTGCTTTGCTATCTGAAAAATAGACATGTTGTGTGGCTATGTTGCCTTTTTCATAAACTTCTATTTAAATAGCTACCTTGGGCTCTATTAGCCGATTTGAATGCATGCAGCAGGGGCTTGAGCTCTGCTGGATAGTAGTCGTCATTTTAGCCAAGGCACATCTGGGAAACACCCAGGCCCAGGTTAGAGTTGGAGGTGCTGGGACAGGGAGTGGGGTACAGTTGCAGAAAACCTACAAGTTCCTTTGGCTTGGGTGCCAGTTGAAAGGAAAGAATGCTACTCAGGTCTCTTTCTGGGCTGTTCCACATGTGTTCAAAGGCACTGGGGATCAGGCTACCCTAGGGCTGCCCTTGATCATCTCCCTGTGCTTGTCACTGGGGCATTGGGGTGAGTAATGAATCTGTGGACATCTTCAAGCATCATATATAAAAGGTTGCATATAGTGCCTGGCAATCATAGATTTTGAGTGAAAAAAATCCCTCATGTTTACCTTAAAAATCCACCCACCTTTACATAGAGAAGCAAATGGACTCTCCGCTGCTTTATATTAATATTTCTTCAGGAGTTAAATATCCATATTTTGCAAATAATTATCTTTTCACAGAATCTCTTTAAGGAAAGCAGAAAGAACCACAGCTTAGGGTTCTATCTGCTAATTTGCTGAAGGACTAGAAATAGGATTCCAAATCATAAGCCAGTAGGATGTGACTTGTGATCCTAGAACATCACACCTTAGAAGGTGCATCAGATACACCCTCCTTGGGCCTCAGTTTCCTCACCTCTAAAGTGATGGGGTTGATAAAAATATCTCTGAGGTCACTTGTACCTCTGTTTTTCTGTGGTTATCTTCTACCGTTAATACTCACAATCTTCCCCCAGATTTGTATACATATTGCCTGTGAAATATAATGTAATAAATTATACACACACACACACACACACACACACACACACACATATGCCTGTTCATTAAGAAATCAACCACTACAAAGAATGTATAAAGTGAAATTTGGGAGTCTTTCCACACTATCCCATTCTCCAGAGGTAACCCCAGGGTGGTTACTCTTTGTTTATATAGACACACAAACAGTATGTGTGTATACCTTTTTTTTTTTAGTTAAAAAATAAGATGATAGTATACATTGCATACTTCTCTGAAACTTGCTATTTTTCACTTAACAATATAATGTGAGCAACTTGCCATCACACTATTTGAAAAAAGTTGGCTTGAGACCTCAGCAAGCAGAGGCTTAGGGGCATAGGAATCATTACCCATTCCAGGCTGGCCTGTCTCCCAGTGGTGAACATTGGCCTGTGACCCTGTTTTATGATTAACAGAAGGGCCACATTTGTGCTGACGTGGTACAGACCTTTAATCTCTCTGTAGAAGTTTAACTTCTCGTAAACAGCATTGGTTGAACTCGACCTTTTCTCTGTTATTCTGGTTGAGTTAGCGCACCCAGATTGAAGAAAATAGCTTATAAACAGGTAGTAAAGAGAAACAGAGAGGTTCCTTAGGTGATTATTTTTTTAAAATGAAAAAAGAGAGAAAAAGTAATACCTTGCATTTTCATAATAAAGCATCATCATGTAAAACTCAACAAATATATTTTGAGCAACTACAATGAGCAGGGTGCTCATGGGTTGCATTTGAGTCACCTGGCAATGAGACAAACAGCAGTTATTATCACTATTTAATTCACGGTAAACTAAGATCAGTGAAGTTGCCTGACTTGCCCAATATTCCAGCTAGGGGAAGCAGAGCTGGTTCTTGAACCCAGGTCTATCTTATCTACTAGCAGCAAACCTCTGTGTTAATGTGTCAGATGTTTATGAATTGGTAATGTCAGTGGTGCAATGACCAGCAGCCTACAGCACTCTGGGGTGTCATCAAGGACATTAGGAATCATCCAAAGGTCAATTCTTTTTACCAAGCTTACTCTTTCCCTTGAATAGAAAGGAGTACTTCCTCTTATCCCAACTTTGCACTTTATTAACTACTTGTCCTTGGACACATAATTTAAACTCTCTTATTTTATATCCTAATGTATTAAATGGGGGGGAGCTCAACCACCTTCTGGGATTATTATGAAGAATAAATTATATAGTGCATGCAAAGCAATTAGCAGAGTGCTTGACAATAAATGGTAACTTATTATTGGGGTGTTTTTTCCTTTTGCTTTGTTAAGAAAACATCTTTATTTTTTGGTAATTGTGAACTCCTTTGTGCAAATACCTCAACTGAAGATAAAATTTGCACCTTGGTCTGCAGGTCACCATTCCCAGGTTGGCTTTTGTTCACATGAAGATCTGGAGGCCAGATCAAGCTAAAAATTCCTGACTCTAATATTAGAAGCTAACATGAACAGCAAACACCATCTGCCGGGGCCTGGGATGTGATGGGGCTTTGGAAGATCATCTTCTCTAGAAATATTGTCCACTAGCTTCTCATAGCACCCAAATGACAACATTGCAGTTCCATTTTGGGGGGTTAAGACAAGAGCCTCTGTTGAAGTGGCGAGTGGCAACGATGAGGTTATCAGTTATACCTTCTCATGAATTAGTTCAGTAGCCATTGACTCTTTATATCAAGGGACAGGAGAATGAGAGCCTGCCCTGAAGAAATACAGAAAACATGGAGAAATTGATTTGTCATGAGGACAAATCATGACTGGGTAGGGAGCTCTGCCTTAACCCAGCTGGGACCTTGGGCAAGTCAAATAACTTCCCTGAGTCTTAGCTTGCTCATTAATCAATAAAGATAATACCTGCTCTGATTACTTTCTTGCTGAGTGGATCAAATGAGAACTGAGGTCCCTGGGCTTCCAGGAAGTAGTATGTAGGCATGGGGCACCCATCCCGCATTGAGTTATTGCAGGGAGAGGAGACAGAGAAAGGAAGAGACCACAGGATTGGATAGGAAGCTGATACTCAAGATGATAATCTTAGCTATCGTTTTTTTTTTCTTTGATAACCCAACTTATGCAAAAATCACCCAAAGCCCTATGCGCTTGCATTGTCAAGACTAACCCAAAGTGGCAGCTGAACAGGGGCAATGAACCCCTTCAGAGGACCACTGCTGAGGAAGCTGCTTGGACAAGGGGTCTTCGAACCAGAGACTCTCCTTGCTAAAGCGTGAAGCTAGAGCAGGGATCAACTATGACTTCAGCATGCTCAGAGGCCATGAGAACCCCCAGCCCAGAGGCATTTAGGAAAAATCCTCCCTGGTCTGCCCCAAGTGGTTTCATAGATGGCTGAATATAAGAAAAAGGAACCTTGCAGCACACCCTCTATGGTCCAAAGCTGAAGAGAGGGTAACTTCAAGGCTGAGTATAGATGTCTCCTCTCAAACTTATTGCCTGGAGAATAATCTGCTAGGACTACAGGCTAACAGAGCAAAGTAGAGGATAACCACAGAGGCCAAGAGCCTCACTGTCCTGGCCTCACATCACCCAGGGTACCCCCATGGCACCAGGAATATACAGAATGGAGAATTAGTCCATTACTGCAGTTTCTTTGTTTTTCAGCTTTTAGTAGGTCACTAACTAACTAACTGGTTCAATATCAGGATCAATGATCCCAGTGGTCTCCTGGAATTCCATTTAGGATCACCGTGAACACCTTCATCCATATGGCTAATTGCAACTACTTAGATGAGGGGGAGCAAAACAGACCTCATAAATTTATCCACCTGTCGAAATAGGCCAGAAGTATCAGAGGGGTCTGCACAGCTTGTATGTGCACCCGACTGTCTTGGTCATAAATCCATCTGAGCCAGCCCCAGTTCTGTGTGTGACTCTCCTGCACTCTTTTCCAGACCTGACACCATGGCCCACCAGTACCCAGCCCTCAGCTCAGAGCAGAAGAAGGAGCTCTCAGAAACCGCCCAGCGCATTGTTGCCAATGGAAAGGGGATCCTGGCTGCAGATGAATCTGTAGGTGAGTGCAAGAGTGAGCCACATGATACAACAGTGTATTCTTGTTTCTACCCTTAGCCAACACAACTGGATAATCTTACTCTCCTTCCTCTCAGGGGAAGTAAAGATTTCTGTACACAGGAGCAGGAGCAGAAGATGTAAGCATAGACTGTTGGAGTCCCCTAGTTTTAGTAGGCAGATTCCTGACAACCAAGGAAAGAGACTCAAGCTCCTCATTTTAAGGCCTCTTGCCAGGGGTCTTTCAATCCAGCCTGTGGCAAGGCCAGGATGAGGTCAGGTGCATGGCCATCTGCTGCTAATGAGAAGCCAGTTTAATGTCAGCCACGTCAGGAGGGGCAGGGAGATATCTGTATCTAGAACAGGGCAGAGCTTACAGATGAGAGAATCTCAGGCTGGCACAACGGAGAGCTGTGGTAGAGTGGCACAGTCTATCATAAAACCATGGAAGCCAGAGAAGTCAAGAGCCTGCTCTATTCCTCCTTCCACTGCATGCACATGCAGTGAGGTTGAGGACTGGAGCAGGGGAGGGATAGAGAGACCTGAGGGCCTTGCATATCCACGGGACCCAGTGGTGGCTACCATGCTGACCCCCACATGTCCAGCTCGTACACCTCCTCACCAGCATCCTGGCAGCAACCAGGGTCTTCCCCCGGGAGACAAAATATAAGGCAAGAGCTTTGAAGATCCTTCCATCCTGGTGAGGGTCACAGAGGTGCCCCAGCTTGCCCTTCATATTGCCCTCGGCCTGCCCACCTTAGGCACCATGGGAAACCGCCTGCAGAGGATCAAGGTGGAAAACACTGAGGAGAACCGCCGGCAGTTCCGAGAAATTCTCTTCACTGTGGACAGTTCCATCAGCCAGAGCATCGGGGGAGTGATCCTCTTCCATGAGACCCTCTACCAGAAGGACAGCCAGGGAAAGCTGTTCAGAAACATCCTCAAGGAGAAGGGGATCGTGGTGGGAATCAAGGTGAATACTTCCACTCACGCCTCACCTCTGCCTGGCGTCCTGGGCAAACTCCCAGCGCAACGGCCAGGGCAGGGCCAACATACCAAACATCACCAACATCTCATTTCTCCTCTCACTCTTTTCCATCATCATCTTCCCTCTGAGAACCAGATCTTCTTCTAGACTTTTTTCTCCAGTGCACTCTTTTTCCAACCAAGTTTTCTACCAGGGACCTTGACATCTCAATTTTCTCATTTCTTCAGAGAGAATAATAATGCATAGCTCGTAATGGTCTTAAAAGAATGAAATGAGTTTTTAAAACATTTCCTATCACATAACAATTATTCATTTAATGGTAGCTATTATAATTAAAGCACTTACTGTTCTATATTTTAACTTGGTCTTCCAATAGCACATGAACTTCCCAAGAGTAAAAACTAGTATTTGTAGAGTGCTTACAATTCCAAGCACTCATATAATCCTCTTCACAATCTCTGGAGGTAGATTCAATTATTACCCTTATTTTAGAGATGAAAAAACTGAATGTAACCTGCCCACATGGCAAGGCAAAGTTAGAGCCAGTTCAGACTATCTAACTCTTGGGCTCGTGACATTAGCTTCCATGTTGAGAGTAGAGGCTGCATCCTTATTTTCTTTACCTGCGTATGAACACCATGCCTGGTATGTGCAGATGCTCAATAAATGTCAGGCTAGACACTCTCACATTGCTCCTTCCAGGTACCTTCCCTTCTGCTATGGACTGAATTGTGTTCCCGCAACGACTAGTACACTTTCTAATTCAACTCCTTGGTTTGTAAAAGATGTCAACTATTTGTTAGCATCAGGAATTCTGCTTGTGCTTTACTGACATCTGACACCTGCTAATTACTTGTTAATATCTGTATCCACAGTTGGACCAAGGAGCTGCTCCCCTTGCAGGAACAAACAAAGAAACCACTATTCAAGGTAAGGATATTGCCTGCTGATATGAATCATGCCAATATGGGCTACAAATGAAGGCAAGTAAAGAAGGGGGCAAAGGAAAAGAATGTAAGAATATAACACTGGTCTTTGAGCCCCGCAGACTTTGTTTTCAATCACAGCTCCTCCACTTAATAACATGTGTGACCTTGGGACAGTCACTTAAATGTTCTGAGCCTCAGTTCTCCTATCTTTAATGTGGGATAAACTATTGTGGGTGTTAAATTAGACAACGTACGTAGAGTGCTTACCACAGTACCTTGCACAGAGAAAGTACTCTGTACCTGAAACTATTATTTTTAGAAAAAAATCTAGAAATAGCAGAGAGGAAAGGCACCAAGCTCTGGGATCAGACACACCTGGGTTTGAATCCTGTTTCTATCACACGCTACTTAGATAATTTTGCAAGTATTTTACTGACCAAGAGAACAAACATTAACCACAGCATTGGGTTAGCTAAGCAGAATTTGAATCTCAGTCCTATCATTCTTTAGCTGTTCAAACTTGGTAAAGTCACTTAACCACTCAGGGCCTCAGTTTCCACATCTGTAAAATGAGCATAATATTAACTATTGGTTCCCTCTATTCTACTTATGAAGTAGCCAGTATGCACATCAAAACCATATTTATTTATACTAGGTCTTTTGGTCTAGCGTTGTGATTAATGTTTATATGCTTGGGGGTTTCAGTCCTCAAACTCTGTGGACCCAAAGCTAAGCCAAGGGGGAATTCATCCACTTTGTCAGAGGCCCCATGGACCAGGTACAGGGGTGCAAAGAAGCCTTTCTCTCTCTTGTGACTTGTAGGGCTTGATGGCCTCTCAGAGCGCTGTGCTCAGTACAAGAAAGACGGTGCTGACTTTGGGAAGTGGCGTGCTGTGCTGAGGATTGCCGACCAGTGTCCATCTAGTCTCGCCATCCAGGAAAATGCCAACACCCTGGCCCGCTATGCCAGCATCTGTCAGCAGGTGCTCTGCCTCCCCCTTGGGCCGAAAAACAGTAGGCTAGAGCTTTCTTCACAGTCTCTCTTTTCACTTTTACCATAACTGCACATGAGCCTTCCTCTTCCCTCACTAGTATATTCTAGTGGCATTTTTCACTACTTTTGCCATAGCTCAGTATGGCAGGGAAAGATTTGGTTCCATAAGCCTGTAGGAGTCCGACTAGGCTATGAGTTCAAAGGCTAATGTCATCAACTAATGCCCTCTGCTGAAGCTCTATAAGCCGTCTCAGAAATGGTCAGCCTCATGAGACAGGCCACTTACTTGTCCATACTCCATGAAATTAAAGGTATGACCTTCTTGGATCCCCAGCTGGAGGGTGATAGCTCTGACCGAGTTCCAATCCAAATAATTTCGCCCAGGATGGTGACCTGAGCTAAAGTTTCCAACACATATTGAAGTGACTCTGGGTCCAAGTTGAGTTTGATTTGCTTCTGTAGGTCCTATGTTGGGGTTACTGGAGTGGAGGGCACCTGGAGATTCCCAATTAGAACCACAAACACTGCTTGAATTCCTTCATTAACCCACATTAGAGGTCTCTTTCTTAGTGATTTAAGCATGATTGCCCTAAAAGGGTGGCAGCTAGGTATTGAAGTCACTAGAATAGTCTGTAATATTAGTAAAAAATACAGAAATTAAGGATTTGTATTTACTTTTTACCCCATTCTGAAAAGCATTTTTTAACCTCACTGTTCTTTTTTTGCTTAAGCCACATATACTCACTAGATACCCCATCAATTTCTTTTCACCATTTTTAAGTCACCTATGTAATATTTCTCCATAAGGGCTTCACTTTATACCAGTGCAACTGTTGAAGTTCCTCCTAAGGAAAGGATCACAGTGAGCACAGCTTCACTTTTTCTCCCCACTTTTCCTTTTAGAATGGGCTAGTACCTATTGTTGAGCCAGAGGTAATTCCTGATGGAGACCATGACCTGGAACACTGCCAGTATGTTACTGAGAAGGTAAGTCTTAAATATAAAGGTCCCCATTCTAGTTGAAAAATCTTGTTTTTAAGTAGCAGCTGTTATTTAACATATAAAAGCTGTACATTTGCAATAGTCTTTAGGTTACAATCATTATATAGCATTGAGAAGGTAAAGAAGTGCTTATCAATCCTTCACTTTTTTGGTACGTGGAATGCTCCTTATGGAAGAAGCACAAGATTTTCAATACCAATACTTGGGTTGGGGAATCCACTTTTCTCCACTTGTGCGATCTTGAGCAAATGATATTATCTCTCTTGAACCTCAGTTCTATTATGTGTACACTAAGAAATTTAAAAATAAGATATGAGGCTCATATAAGAAAATGTAATTAGAAAGTACTGTATTCACATTTGACTTTCTAGATTAGACATAGTATATCTAAAAGAGGGTGGTTCTCATACATGGCGAGAAAGAGAGTTATAATGTCACCTGACCTTAGTTTCTCCACTTGCAAAATTATGTGGGCTGAATGAGATCTAAAAGCACTACCGTCTCTAAAATGTATGGATTTTTTGGGGTTTTGTTTGTTTGTTTTTGTTTTGTTTTGTTTGAGCCACGGTCTCACTCTGTTGCCTGGGTTAGAGTGCAGTGGCATTATCAAAGCTCACTGCAACCTCAAACTCCTGGGCTCAAGCTGTCCACCTGCCTCAGCCTCCTGAGTAGCTGGGACTACAGATGTGCACCACCATGCATAGCTAATCTTTTAAATTTTTTTTGTAGAGACAGGGTCTTGCTGTGTTGCTCAGGCTGGTCTCAAACTCCTGGGCTCAAGTGATCTTCCCACCTGAGCTTCCCAAAGTACTATGATTACAGGCATGAGCCACTGCACCCAGCCTCTAAAATGTATATTTTTATGACTATTCAGCTTCTATGGGGATGGAGAGTGGAGGCCAGTTTAGATGTCCCTCACTAGTGAAATCAAGGCAGTCTCAGGAGGGGATGACATTGGCCAAGGGAGTAATGGGAAGAAAGGAATGAAGGGCCTCCAGGAAGCAGAGCCATGCCAATAGTTCATGCAATGGAGCAGCTATAATAGATTAGGGGTTGTGGGGATAGACCAACTTGATTGTGCTCAGTGGCTATTGTTTGCAACACATTTCCCTGATGAGGTCAAGAGGCTGGTTCAGAAGCTTTGGCTAAAATGGGAATTCCTTCATCCTGCATCCCTGTAGTGTAGAAGAGCTAAGGTCAAGTGTCTCTAAGACTAGCTTTGCATTTCACCTGTTTGGACCTCTTTCCTTCAGGTCCTGGCTGCTGTCTACAAGGCCCTGAATGACCATCATGTTTACCTGGAGGGCACCTTGCTAAAGCCTAACATGGTGACGGCTGGACATGCCTGCACCAAGAAATATACTCCAGAACAAGTGGCTATGGCCACCGTCACAGCTCTCCACCGCACTGTTCCTGCAGCCGTTCCTGGTAAGGCCTTCTTTCTTCCCCAACTCGAGGTTTTAGCCCTCATCCTGTAAGTCTGCTTCTATTCGTGAAATAGACCTCTGCTGTCTCACAGGCAGCCAGCATTTCCCCTCCCACTCCAAGATGCCGAGCATCCTGAGTCTGTCCGAATGCACACAATCCATATATTTCCTCGACATTTCACTGTCCTCTTTATTTATTTAAAACCCTTCTCTCTTTAGCCCAACTAGCCTCAGCAAAGGTAAACTGATTTCTCTGACCCAGTCCCACGCAAATCAAGCAGAGAAAAGATTGAAGCATTACATTGCTTTTCAGCTCACTGCTTGCTTCCTCAAGCGGGGCACATAAGCTGGGACTAACAGAGTGGAATGGCTTCTCTCCTACCAGGCATCTGCTTTTTGTCTGGTGGCATGAGTGAAGAGGATGCTACTCTCAACCTCAATGCTATCAACCTTTGCCCCCTACCAAAGCCCTGGAAACTAAGTTTCTCTTACGGACGGGCCCTTCAGGCCAGCGCACTGGCAGCCTGGGGTGGCAAGGCTGCAAACAAGAAGGCAACCCAGGAGGCCTTTATGAAGCGGGCCCTGGTAAGACGCTGCTACCTCTTATCTACTTGATCAAGTTCATACTTGGGGCTTGACTTTTTCACATGAAGAAGCATGAAGATGCTTTCACATGAAAGTATCTATAGAGGGTGTCTGCTGGGTATTTGAAAGTGTGGCATTGGGGCTCAGTAAGAGGATTGGGGCAAGAGAGTTTGGAATTATCCACACTGGTAGCATAGTTGATGACAGTAGATTGAAGGACAATTTCAACAGAGACATTGCAGAAGGAAGAAGATAAGAGGGCTAAGGACTGAACCTAGGACACCTTTCATTTTGGGAAGATGATGAAGAAAAGCCACAATTATATGATAGGATGAACCAAGGGTTCTGGGAACAAAGAGTAAAGAATTTCAAGGGGTCGATAATAACATGCTACAAAGATATTCAAAACAGAGGCTGAGAAAAGGCACTGAGATTTGCACTTAGGGGCATATCAGTGACTGTCAACAAACTAATTTCAATAGAAAGACAAGAGGAAAGGTGCTCATTCCAGAAGCGTGTCAGAAAAAGACCCAAAAAGGTTACCAGGAGAAATGAGGACCAAAAAAAGGTTTTATTCAACTAGCAGCCATTACTTTTTTAACATCCTCTATGAGCCAAGGACTGGGGTGAACAAATCAGACATAGCCATGGCTCTCAGGGAGCTTGGAGTTTAGACAAATAGGAAAGAGGTTGGCATGTTTAAATGTAAAGCAAAAGAAGCCAGAAGAGAGAGTAAAGACCTGGAGAGTGGAGATAATTGAGGGGAGAAGGACTCAGAAGAAATGGGGCTGCATGAGACTAAATATTAAATAAAAGTGGCATAGTTGATCTTAGAGACAAAAAGGAGGGAACAGACAGAAAGGAAAAAAGAGAACGGGGTTGGAATCAGCTCTGTAGAGGTGAAGGGATGTAGCAGTTGACTTATTACAGCGAGGGCTGAGAATGATAAAGAAATAGAGATTTCAATCCTGACAGTGGGAAAGGTTAGAATAGCTATTGAAGGAATTTGCTAGGAAATTGACCAGTTATTGTGGCCAGACATTATAGCCAAGCATCAAGTAAAGTACAACTGAAATAAGAGTGAGTTTGTGGTACGTTAGCTTCATTCCTGAATTTTCCTAACAGCTCTCTAAAGCATGCAGAAGATTCAGAGAAACCTGAATGGGGAACAGGAAGGCAGATGAGTAAAAGTTTAATAGAGAGATAGAAGAGTGAGAAATTTTAGTGACAGCCTCATTTAGCCTGCTGACCACAGAGGGGGCTGGTCAAGGAATCGAGTGTAGTCAGAAGTGTGCTGATGAAATCCTAGAGGAAGCTAAGAAATCATCTTAGGGGCATAAGAGACGCGTGAGATTTTAGAGTTAGTGCTTTACCTTGGTGTGTGGCTGATGGGGTAGGGAGAGGTAGCTCACATGCTAGAGGGATTATGAAAGTACAGGTCAGACAGGAAGCTGAGTTTATCATCCAGGATGCCACTTCTCAAGCTCAAGTGTGCCGATGTTTTTATTGATACATAATTGTATGTATTTATAGGGTACCTGTGATATTTTCATACATGCATACAATGTGTAATGATCAATCAGGGTAATTAGGATATTCATCACCTCAAACACTTATCTTTTCTTTGTGTTGGGAACATTCCAAATCTTCACTTCTAGCTATTTTAAAATATATGATAAATTGTTAACTATAGTCACCCTACTGTGCTATAGAACACTAGAGCTTATTTCTTTTCTTACTGTGTTTTTGTTCCCATTAACCAACCTCTTTTCATCCCCCCACCCCTTGAAGGGATTGTTAAAATGCAGATTGCTGGGCCCCACCCACCCATCAAGTTTCTAGTTCAGGAGGTCTGGGGTGAGGCAGAGAATTTCCATTTCTAACAAGCTCCTAAGTGATGCTGGTTGTCCACGAAACATACTTTGAGAACCACTGATGTAAGACATAGAAAAGTCCTGGAGAGAATGGACAATAGCAACAGAAACTGGAAGAAGTGGGAGCACTGAGTGGCATTTGAGTATTGCTATGGTTTCATAAGCAATAGTTAGGTTTCATAACTCTGAATTTACCTTTAATTGGAATTTACATGGGCAATCAAACGATACTATGATAACTACATAAAATTTACATATTCTTGTGGACAAATAGAGGTAGAAAATGGAAATATTTTAGAAATAAACACTTTCTTTGCTATAGTGTATTATACTAGTGAGAAGTTTCTCAACTTTAATTTCTAGTACTGTTGTTGCAATATTATTGGTACTGAAAAGACATTTTTCCCAGTAACTGATACAAACTGATATAAACCTCAGGTTTGCCAAGGAAATGCTCAGAAAACTGGGATAAAAAAGGGAGATTAGGAAGGGGATGGTGTCGGCAGCAATATTTAGCAACATTACTGTAAGGAGAACAAAATCCAAATGAAGGTGTGGTTGGTTTCCCGTGCAAAGTAGGTGGGTTAAAGTGGGTCTGCATTTACTCTAACTCTGCCTCCTGTCTCACACTTGTCTTCTAGGCTAACTGCCAGGCAGCCAAAGGACAGTATGTTCACACGGGCTCTTCTGGGGCTGCATCCACCCAGTCGCTCTTCACTGCCTCCTATACCTACTAGGACCTGATGCCCGCCAGCCTGGCTCCAGTGCTTCTAGGTGTCTCAGTAAGAGGGCTGAAAGGGAATGACCTTTCGACCAACACTGGAAATGAGAAAAAATTAGATTGGAACTGCTGGAAACACAAAACATGTTAATCTTAAACATATGAGAAAGAAACCAAATGAAACGAAACATCTCAAAAGCTGAGTGTAGAGAAGTAGAGAAGTGCATCTTATGAAACAATCTTAGCAGTGGTAGGTTGGGAAGGAGAAATCTGCAACCTTAAGAAGAAATAAAATGTTCTATAAACCTTCCATTGGTATTGGGTTTCACTTTTCTGCTCTTGTTGTTGAAGGACTCAGTATATTTCATTACCTTTGACTCTACTACACATGACTGGTATTAATGGTCAGGGCCCTCAACTTCAGCTACTCCCTGGAATCAAATAGCAAAATTTTAAAAACCCAGATGATGGTCAGGCCACACCCTAGCCCAATTAAATCAGAAACTCTAGGTATGGAATCCTCTAACTATCGGATTTCTTAAAGCTTCCTCAATGACTCCAATGTGCAGCCAGATTTGAGAATTACTAATCTGAATTTCAAGTTTGAGGATATTTGAAAATTAAAGCCATCCTAAGCCTTCTGTAATAGTCTAAGTAGTCAGTACTGGGCATCAGTACATATGAACAAACTTAAAAATCAGTCAACAAGTATTCACTCAGCACCTACTGTATGTTCAGCACTGTAAAGATACTACATGGTCTGTGTATGCTTACCATTGAGATGAGGAAGACAAGGGTACACTTAGGAAACAAATAAAATGGTATACAATAATATGCTAAGTTGCAGTGGCACAGGCTTGGTACCAAGATCAAATGAGAAGGAATGCTTTACACAGGAGGTAGGTTGAGCTGCCAGCAGTTTATTACTAGTTATATGATCTTGAGAAAAATACTTAGTCTATCTGAGTCTCAGTTTTCACCTCTGTAAAACAAGGTTGTTGTGAGGGCTAGCAATATTTTATGTACAGCGCCAGATACATGAGTTGTGAATAAATATTAGTTATATTTGTTCCTTGTTAGCTGGCTGTTGAAGAATGGTAAAGGCACTTGAGTGGGAATGAACATGAATTATCTTTGTCCTGAGTAGAGTACAAACTCTATTGAGGGAACTGTGGGAAGTCAGCCTGGAATGGTGAAGCCAAATGGAATGGCATGGGGGCAGGGGCAGAGATTTTTTGGAAAGTCTTGCTTTGAAGTAATGAGAAAAAGGAAAATGTGGATAACTTTTAAGCAAGGAATAACATGGTAAAAGCATGGCTGAAAATTACTTCTTAGATGTAGAGGATTAGAAGGGAACCGGGAGCAAGCTAAGTGTCTCCAATACCAATCCAACACAGCATCCAGCCTTTTGTTAGTGGGGGTGAGTGGAAATGACATCTTTAGAGAAAGCAACAAAACTCTAAGTACTGTAACCATTTACCACCCTAACAAAGTCTGGTTCATTGCAACCTGATTGGCAAGCACTTGAGACAATTGAAAACTCAAGATTCTTCTTCACCTAGTTCTCAAAAAGAGACATACACGCACAGACTCATCCCTTTGAGTGCTAGGGCATGTAAAAAACAGGGCACCTTCTAAACATAGCACTAATTCTTCTGGCAGTTAAGAACCACTGGGGCTAGGCTGTAGCCTGAGGCCTCAGGTGTCAGAGAAATCTACTCTGCCCTTCTAAGATATTCAAGGTCAAGACATCTTTCTGCAACTACTTCCAACTTTTCCTTGTCCTACCCTGGTTTTGCCCTGGGGGAATTTACCAAAGAAGTCAGAGTGCACCGCTTGGTTACAGGGATGCAATGACTGTCACGTGATGTGGAGGTTTACCTTAGCCATTGGACTAACATGAGAAACCCATTCATAAAGCATGGCTTCTGAACAGGACACAACACAGGCAAGAGGCACACACCATGTTTTATTTGTGCAAAATGTAGAGTTAATAAAAACTCAGTGTTTTGGAAAGTTAGTTGATTTCCACCAGTCTTTATGATTACATATGGCTTAATATTCATTCCCCAAGTCTCCTTGAAGATAAAGGATTACTTGACACAGCGGTGCAACTAAGGCTTATAGAATTAGCATAGCAATACTTACAGAATTAACATAGCACCTGACAGGTATTTTAAAAATACATGTTAATTGGAGTACCACTTGTGCAGGAAAAGTGAATGTTTCTGTCTTTCTTCTGTTTGTCCGTGAATCAAGGTTACAGAGATGGCCTTAATGAAACAGAAGCCAATCAATCCACCCTCACCATACACCTGAGGCCACAAAACACTTTTGAAGGAGGTAGAGAAGGAATGTCAAAGGTATCAAATACTGACTGGGAACAGCAGCTTAAAAAAAATGATTGGAATATTTGGACTAGATTTTTAAAAAAAGGAGTTGAAATTTATTTTTCAAGCTCTGTGCTCCACTAGGTATGCTGTGTATGCCCCTAGATTTGCTGATGACATCCTCCTTCAGGGAGACAGATGAATGTGAAATGCCTCACTCATCAAAATTACAGAGAAATGGAGTACTATAGTGGTTTTATATCTTTTTGCTACCAAAGACTCCTTCTACCTGCTTGTTTTGAAATTTTATTAATAATTTGCTTCATCTACTTTAAATTTAATTTTCTTTCAAAATTGTTCCATATGTTAATTCCCAGAAGGAATCAGCTGGGCTTCAAACAAAATCCCACAAACTTTTCCCAGGTTTCTGTTTCTCTCTTCCACTTTCCCCAGCTGGTCCTTCAAACCTTTATTACTGACAAGGCCCCTAAGTCTCCCCCAACCATGTCTACTCCTCTTCCTTCTCTGACTCTCAAACCATGAATTTAATTATTTTTTTTAAATGAGTCATCTCCAGTTAATTCAATTTTCCCCTCTCCCAACCAGACACTAAATCTGTCCTCCTTCCTTTTCTCTCAAATTCGAGAAAGGTCCCCAAAGAAAATCCTTCCATTATTGTAAAATTCATTTTATCCTATCCAGTAACTTAATCAATTTGCCTCCTGCTCTTCTTTTTCTTCATCCTCTCCCTCAACTGGCTATCTTTTTAGAACAGAAAAATACTCAAATTTTTCTTTAATCTTGATTTATAGCCCTCTTTATATTTACAGACAAGTAATCTACTTTTATTCTCTGAGTTTATAGAGTAGTAAAATTAAGTG